CACCCGGGATCCGAACCCGGGCCGCCAGCATTGCAGCGCTCGCACTTAACCACCAAGCCACAGGGCCGGCCCGTGAGGGTCTTTTAAAATCAAAAATGTTTCTAAGGACCAGCCCTCTCAGCAAGCCCCCAGATTCAGAGATGTGCTGTCTTAGTGGCAAGCTCTAAATTCCCAATTCTCTTACATCCCTGAGTCAGCTACAGAGGGCTGTGTGGTTCTCTCATGCTCTTTAGAGGCAAATTATTGTCCCCAACCAGCTCTAATGGGCTCTCAGAAAGATGCTATGGAAAGAGCAGGAAGGTAGAGTCAGACAGACCTGAATTCAGATGTCTTCTCTGTGAAGTCAGGCCAGGTGTTTAATATCTCTAAGCCTCAGTATTCTCATCTGTAAAATTCATATGTTGAAGCCCTAACCCTCAGTGTGATGGTTGGAGATGGGGCCTTTGGGAAATAATTAGGTTTAGATGAGGTCATGAGGGTGGGGCCTTCATGATGGGGTCAGTGCCCTTATAAGAAGAGACACCAGACGGCTTGCTCGCTCTCCAGCGCATGAGGACAGAGTGAGAAGGCAGCCATCTGCAAGCCAGGAAGAGCCCTCACCAGAACCCAACCACGCAGGCAGCCTGATCTTGGACTTCTAGTTTCCAGAACTGTGAGAAAATAAATTTCTGTTGTTTAAGCCTCCCAGTTTATGGCATTTTGTTATGGCAGCCTGAGCTGACTGAGACAGATGCACCTTTAGAGTATTAATGATTATGGGTTTAAATGCATAGAAGTGCATTTAAAGCATTATTAATAATTGACTTTTGTGGGGTTAAATGCACGTAAAGTGCTTGTGCCACTCGTGATAGATGCCCAGTAACTGCGAGTGCCTGCCCTCTTGCCCCGGATGCCAGATGCCTTTCCTGCTGCCCAAATGCATGGTCCTACAGGAGGTGGCAACAGTAAGAGCTACCCTTCTTTTTCTGGGCAAGCTAATCAATTCTTCTACCAAGGCAAGAGGGAAAAATAGATCCCCAAACACTGCCCATGATCGAGTGTCATCAGTCCGGGAATGGAGGGAACCAGGGCTGCAGACTTCCTCCTTGCCAAGGTTAGACATTCACCCGAGCCGTTCTCCATGAGCTGTCATTCTGCATGACCCATCTGTTCACTTAACAAACACTTATTTAGCGCCCATAATGTACCATGCACTCTTTTTAGCCCTTTACAAATGTTAACACATTTAAGCTTTGTAACAACTCTGTAATGTAGGTGCAATTATCATCCCCACTTTACAGTCGTGGAAACTGAGGCCCAAGGAGGTTATGTGACTTGAGCAAGGTCACACTGCCAGCAGGTGGAAGATCAGGATTCTGGCTCCAGAGTCATGGCCAAGCAAGTGGGAATACTTTGGGGGAGGGGGGTGCTGTGTCCCTTCTTTTACCTTGTCTCCCTCAAAAACAATTGGGATCTTTTCACAGGTCCCCTAGAAACCTGAGGATATTTCCTGTTTGTAGAATCCATGCCCAAGTCCAAAATAATTCAGTTCTTTATTCCCTTCCCATGTATTTAAACTGAAAAATAGTCAATTAGAGCCTATTTATTCTTCCTTTCTCCAAGTATTTGTTGAGTGTCTACCACGTACTGGCCCCCATGCTGGCTGCTGTGGGTGGAGGGGCCACTGGCTGGAGGACCAGAATGTTTTCTGTAGCATAGCAAATGACTGAATTTTCCTTAGAGAAAGCTATAAAAAGGCCATTCTCCTTAATGAAGAGAAGGCAAAAAGGAGAGATAATTAAATCAAAGGACTTAAGAGCTAGCACAGTCATCATGCTCAGCTCACAGCCCCCCTCTTATTCCCTGAGGAACCTTGGTTCATACAAGAGGTAAAAGGCCCTTCCTTATCCCGTAGTACACAGTGAGCGAGTCGTGATCCAAGATGTGCACAGGTACTGAGGTGGCCTCCCTCCCAGGCTGGGGCAGGGCTCCCGGAGCAGGCGATGGCCAGGTGGAGAGGAGAGTGAGGGCACTCCAGGCACTGGGGGGACACGGGAGGGTCAGAGGTGAGAGGCAGAGGCCCGTTCAGGTTGCTATAACTAGTTCAGTATAACCAGACTCGTGCCTTTTCCTCTGACTGCCAGACCCAGGTATCCAATTGCCTTACCCTTCATCCACGGTGGGTCCTTCAGAAGGACTTCAACATAGCGAAAGCGGAACTCCTGACCTTCCCCCCGACTGGACTCTCTTCCCAGGACCTTAATTCAGAGAATGTGATCGCTGTCCATCTAATTATGTAATCCAGAAACCCAGGGATCATCCTGGGGGATTCTTCTCCCTCACCTCCCCATCCAGTCTTCACTGCGTACCGTCCATTTTCCTCTCCAAAGAGTTTTCCAGGCTGGCCCCCCTGCTCCATCTCCGCCATCACCCCAGCCTAAACTACGTTGTTTGTCACTTGGAATGTCACAGGCGGCTCCTAACTGGCATCCTTGCATCTGCCCTTCTCTGTGCTGTGGCCAGAGTAATCAGGAGATGAGTCTGAGGCTGAGTGGGAGGCAGGGACAGAGTTACTCAGGGTCTCGTTTGCTAAACTAAAGTTTCGTTCGCTCATCCCTTTGCTCGTTCTTGCATTCAGCAACTATCTATTGAGCACTCTGCTGCGCCAGACGCTGTTCTAGGTGAGAGACGGGCGAGGTGGTAGTAGAGGAGGTGAGAGTGATCCGAATCTGCATGTTTGGAAGTCACGGGTGGATTATGACCTAAGGGTCATTCTGTTGGGCGGTGGGGGTGTAGGCAACAGACCCCAGGGTGGAGCCCCCAGGAGAGCTCAGGGTCAGGGCAAACCACTGGAAGGGATTAGAGACGGCTCAGCTCACAGGTGTGTTGGCACCTTTGCTTTACTACAGACACACAGCCTAGATCAGTCCAACTTTTCTAGAGCCCCTGGCAGGAGGGATTGAGCTTACAGTGTTCTAGACCCTGGCCAGGAGTGGTCCCTGCATTTGGTGTATTTCCCTGCAGGAAGAGTCATGGAAAATAAAGCAGCAAACAGCGAGAGCCCACAGTGCCCTTGCATAGACCTTGCCTTGGACAATGGCTTGTCCCTGCCACTGCTGTCGCTGCAGTTAGGATGGCATTGTTTCTGCCTCTGCAATGAGTCATTGACCCCCTTATCCTCACTTTGTTTCAGAATACAAGTCAATTGATGATTGTGAGGAGCTGGTGATCAATACCACAGCAACAATCAACAACTTATCTTACTACCGAGTGAAGAACTCCATAATTCAGGACCAAAAGCTATATATTGCTGAATGTAAGTTCCGAGTTGGGTTTGGGTAGATGCATGTTCGTTTCAGGTTGTGACTTTATTAACGAACCACAGGACTGGAGGCATTCATGTTTTCTGATTTCTGGCACAAATATCTAAAAGCCTGATTTGATTCTAATTAGAATATGGGGAAAAGTTAGTTTCTTAGTTTTTGCTCAAGTCCCTTATAGTTTGTATTTTATTATCATTTTTAAGTTTTAAGTTATCAGTATGTAGTATGATATTGGTTTCTAATAGCCTTTAAATTAAAACTTCAATTCACTGATTTAATTTCTCTGGCCGCCAAACCCAGTGCTCATAAAGCTTCTCGTGAGTAAAAACATGGATGGAATCCTGGAGGCTGTGCGCGTTTTTGGAAATCTCTCCCAGGACCATGACATCTGCGATTTCATTGTGCAGAAAAATGGTGAGTTAATGACTCGTATGTTCATCAACATGCACTTCTTGCCGATAAACAGCTGTGCAGTTTCGGAGCTGGGGTCACGACAACGTGACACTTGTTTCTGCTTTGGGACAAGTAGTGCTTTACATTCTGTTCTGTGCGTACGTAAGGCTCTCAGCTCAGGATGCCAAGATGGATCTAGGCAGTGCTCTGAATGTTCCCCTCTCCTTCGGGAGTGGCCTTCTGAGTTCCAAGGTGGGGTGTGTGTGTTTCTTTAAGGGAAGCAAGTGACCTATATTCATCGTCTCTGCCCATGCGAAAAGACTCAAGATATTCTACTTCATGTACTAGAATGTTCATTACAGTACTGCTTGTAACTGCAAAACTTGGAAAGAACCTAAGTGTTCATCAACAGCCAAGAGGATAAACACATCACGGAACAAAATGTTCTACAGCAATTAAAATAAATGAACTAGAGGTTCATGTATCAACATGGATCAACCTCAAACACGTAATATAGGAGCAAAAAACCTAATTATGGGAGGAAATATACAGAATAATGCGATTAGTGTAAGTTTTAAAACATGCAAAACAATCTTGGGTATTGTTTATGCCACATACTCTTGCAATAATGGTATAAGGTACAAGTGGTATTTGGAAATGATAAACTCCACGTTTAAGACAGAAGTTACCTTTGGAGGGGAAGGGATGCTAAAGATATAAAATTGGAACTGTAATGTTTTATTTCTTAAATTGGGTAGAAGGTACACAAAAGTTTATACTAACCATACTGTTTGTATGTTGCAAATATTTCATGTAAGAATAACTAAAAATACCTAATTATCCATGTTCATGATAGAAAATACAGATACATTAAAAAAAATGTAGGAGCAGCAGTCACCCATCATCTCACTACCCCAGAGATAACTGTTAGCATTTTGGTGTATCTTCTTTAGACTCGTAAAAACACACATACATTTGAGGCAGCCTTTGCTGAGCTGTCTGAATTATCACTGGGGCCAAGGTCAGAACAGGGTGACCACCTCTCATGTGTGAAAGAGAACGGGAGCACACATCTTATCCACTCTCCCCCAACCCTTTGCCCAGCCCCCACTGGGGGGACGAGGCAATAGGACCAACAGTTCCTTTTCCTAGGAGTAAGGGAAAATGGTTCCCCGAGGCGAACAGCCTGTCCTGATCTGAGACATCCCCTACCCTGTAAGTCCTGCCTTGCCTCAGGCTGGTTTCCAGGGGTCTGAGCAAGTCTTCTCTTACCAACTGTGGCCCTGGAAGACTTCAGGGAAGATCTGAACAGGAGCCTACTCCCCTCCCCAGGGGCTGTGTATTAAAAGAAAATTGCTGCTGGAGGTTCAAAAGGGCCCCTGAGAACAACCGGAAATTAGAGATGAATGTCACCTGTGTGGTTGGAAGTCCGGGGTTCCCTCCTTTCCTGGGGACAGAGGACCTGGAGGGTGGGGGGGCATGTTCTGAAAGTGGTGGATGTTGGTGAAGCCACTGCTGGGCAATGGGTAAGTCCCCTCGCAGGGTTTCCATTTTGCAAGCCAGTCCCCATTTCCCCTTTGCCATTTGTAAAATAAGACAACAGCTGGGACCCCTGAGCTTTACTGGTCTGTGTTCTCTACCCTCCCAGTCCACAAGTTCATGATTGCACTGCTGGATGCTAAGCATCAGGATATTTGCTTTTCTGCCTGTGGTGTTCTCCTAAATCTCACTGTGGATAAAGACAAGCGTATCATCCTAAAAGAAGGAGGTGGCATTAAGAAGTAAGTTTCAAGACATGGAGTCCTGACCCTCAGGATTCAGAGGACATAGTTTCCCAGGGAGCTGGGGCCCCTCGCGTCATTCCTCCAGGGCGGAGGCATTTTAACATTTGGAAGCGCCAAGCTAGGGCTAAAGAAGGGATTTAGGTTGCACTGGACACTTAAAATTCACAAGTAGGTTATTGCTACTTTGTAGCTACTTAAATTTGTAGATATGAAATTATTTTAAATAACCACTGAATTATATAAATACATATTAAATATTACAGAAGGATAATGATCAGGCTAAAAATATAAAAATTAAAGAGATTCTGACCTAATAACCTCAATTTAACTTTATTAACTCAGGTTGGTGGATTGTTTAAGAGATTTTGGTCCTACTGATTGGCAGCTGGCCTGCTTGGTCTGCAAAACTTTATGGAACTTCAGTGAAAATATCACTAATGCTTCATCATGTTTTGGAGATGAAGACACCAACACACTCTTAGTCGTGCTGTCATCATTTTTAGGTAAGACTCCTGACTGTGAGTCTGTGAGTTTTATCAGAGTGAGATAAAAATCTTTTTCTGTGACCTGTATGGCTAAAGATTAGTATGTGTTTGGGTGGCTATGTTTCTATAAGTAATGAGAGCATGTTAAAGATTATTATAATTTGGAAATATCTGGAAAAGGCTGAGTGTTATTTACAAAAGGGACACAAGGGCTTTTAACTCATTGAGTACTGTCGTGATTTCTTCTGTGGCTTTTTTTTCTTTTTTTGCATTTTCTATAGACAGCAGAAATACAAGATTTCAGCATAAATGTGTTGCTGTTTAAAAGTATATAGACATTGTTGTAATTGAGAAAATATGGCTAAAAGCTACTCTGAATTGTCATGCTATTAATGAATCTATAGATTTTAATTAGCAGCTATGTTAATTACCATGTAGGAGAGGGTCTGCAAAACTATTTGACATTTCAGTGGGGTTCATATCCTTGAAAGGTAGGAAATCACTAATACAAAGCAAAGGAAAGAGGATGGTGTCTTACATTTAAAAATTTTTTATTTTTAGCATCATTTTTTTCACCCTGGGTTAGGTCTAACAATGCTGATTTGGGTCAGTAAATGAGTTGAGTGTTTTCGACAATCCTTTTCCCAAAATGGAGGCGATGGCCCTGCCATTGCTCAGCCACTGTGTTGGATCAGCCAGGCCGTGTAGAAATGTTCCATGTGACTCAGAAGCCATGGGTTCAAATCCTGGCTCTTGCTGGTGGTGGGATTCGACAAGAGAATCAGAACCTATCTCTCTGTCTCTAAAATGGGGACACGATAATCCCTGCCCTGCTGCATGGGGTCATGAAGCTCAAACAAGCATAACGGAAAGACCAGAGACTAGAGTCAGATGGTTCTGAGTTTAAGCCCTCGCTTTATCATTTACTTGGTTTTAATCTTAGGCTTATCCTCCCTGACTTTATATTTTCCCGTCTCTAAAATGGGGATGACTGACGTCCACTTTGCGGAGTTGTTAGGATGATAACTGAGCAGACGTGTCCAAAGAGCCTTTTATAGTGCCTGACATGTGGCAAGTCCTTAAAATATGGTTGTGAAAGCACCTTGTAAATTCTGTGTTGTAACAATATGTTATTAAACAGGAACTCAGAACCAGGAGTAATTTCAAAGAGTCAGGTTTGCTAGGTTGATGTGAAATTTGTTTTTTCCAGGTGAATATAATTGTGTGTGTGTAAGAGTAGGAAAAAATGGGTATGATTTTAAATCACTGAGGGTGACGGTCTGCTCTGTGAACACTGAGCTTTCTAAGGTTGCTGGGAGTGTAAGTCATTGCTGAACTTGCCTTAATTCAGTTCTCAACTCTGGCAGAACATTGGAATCAGCTGTGGAATTTTAAAAAACGCACTTATCCTGGCCCCATCCCCAGGAATTCTGATTCAGGAGCTCTGGGGTGAGGCTGATTATCTGCATTTTTAAAAAGTTCCACAGGTGAGTGTGCTATTCAGCTAGGGTTGGAAACCTCTGCCCTGGTTAACGGGGGAGTTTAAGGGAAGGAAGCCCAGGGAAGAAGGAAGCCAGGAAACAAGCATATTGCCCAGAGCCTGCTGGAGAGGCACTCAGGACCTGGAAGGTCATTCCAGATGGAACCAGAGTCCTCCAGCGACCCCCTCACTAGCAGGCATCATCTGCTCTACCCTGCTGGAGACCCAGCTCTGCTGTTATGGAAAAAGTCCTTTCTCCCCCTTGTTCCCTGTAGGCTCCTGCTCGGTTGCAGCCTCAGCCACCTCGGGGCTTCTTGCTGCACTCAGTGTGTGTGACTCTGCGTCTCCTCTCTTGTTGGCACACCTGTCTATCTGTCTCCCATTTGGGGAGAAGATGTGATTGGTTCCATGAGTCACTCTCCTGGGGTGTAGGGCTTTCGTGCCTTAGGCAGCAGCTGCCTCCACCACAGGCTATCTGTGACTTCCTTTGGCTCCTAAATCTGGGGCAGTCAGCCATAAATAACAAAATGGTGAGGCCATGTGGCACAAGGACCTCTTAGAAGGGGGTGTGGGCCTGGCTGGCTCCTCAGCAGGGGGCAGCACACCTGGCAGGCACTTCACTATAGCAGCCCTATTGCCTACATTTCCCCTCCCTCACCTTCCCCTAGAGCCAGGCTGGCCTTCTGTGCTTCCCCAACCTCTGTGCCTCTGCAGGGCCGTATCCCTTAGCTGTCCAGCCAAATGCTGTCCTTCCAGGACAGGCCCTTTTCAAGCCCATAGTCTAGTCACAGGAAATCTGCACTTCTTATATAGCAATTACTCATGAACTGTGTAACTTCTTCTGTATGATTGTTTTGTAACTTTTATTTCCCCACTCCAGCTGAGCCACTTTAGGAAAAGGATATTGCCTTGTGTAAAGTAGGTTCTTGATAGATGCTTGTGGATTGACTAACAGTAGTGGTACCTCTGTTTCAATAGGGCTATATACTTTTAAAAGCACGTTCATTCTGTCCTCGTAAGATCTCTCTGAGGTCCTCAGCTAGGTGAGAGTTGAGGAACGTAGGTCTAGGAGAGTTAAGTGACCTGCCTAAGGTCATACTATAGCAAAGCCAGGATTTTCATCAGAAAATAAACGATCTGGCCCTGTGTTTTTCTGCTGTTCCATTACATAGTACACCCTCACCCCATCCCATGGAAGGGACAGGAGCATGGATAACAGTCCATCAGGGAGCCAAGTCCCCAGCACAGCTTGGCCCGATTTCTCATGTGATCACAAGTCCCTCCTTACGAACTGTGAGGACGAGGCTGCTTCCTGGCTGTTCTCTCCGCAGTGTGGGCCTCAGACCTCTGCTTCTGACAGGGTTATAGCTGTGTCTGGCCACTTGGGCGGCAGCAAGTGAAATGGATATGTGGGTGAGGGTGTACTTGAATTTCAATTCTTTTACAAAGATAGCTAAACAACAGGCCATCTTGAAAACAGGATGAGCTGTTAAATCCCAAAGGCCTATGTTGAAGTGTGAGCGGTTTTTAGAAATAATGGCAAGGCAATTGATATAGTAATATGTTACCCAACTTTTTCTTGATGGGTGACTAGAAAAAAAGGGAAAGTAATGGTTCTCAACAGGGTTGGGATGTTGGGATGTTGACAGTCTTTTTGGAAAATGTCTTAAAAAGAGTGTTGTCTAAAACTTCCTGATGTACTGTAATTACTTCTTATGAACTCATTAGCGATGTGTTTATCTTGAAGTTCTTAAGTGCTGTGCCAATAGGCTTCTCTCAGGGGAGCACGCTGCTGGTAAGCAGTGTGCGCAGTTTATTGTGAATGTAAAACACACTAGGTTATTTTATGTTCATCTAAGCTACGTGGAACTTAGCCCCTAGGTTACGTGACAAGGGGTAGAGGGGGGCCCTTGTTCAAGTCAGAAGATCACATCATCAAGCCCATGCCAAAGAGCCATCAGGTGCTTCTGGAATATGTGAGGATTGTGCCTTAAATAGGCAGGACGATAATCAAACCCTCAATAGCTACCTGGTGCTGAACAGCAAGCTAGGAAGTAGTGCAGGGAGTAGGGGAAGCTTGTATTGATGCTGCAGGACACTTAAATTGTAATAGAGATCGTGTTATAATGATCACTGAGAAGTTTATTGTTTTGAGTCCTTTAATCTTTTCTAATACCTTCTCTGAAATTCTAGTATCTGGAAGTGTGTTATGCACAAAGAAAGCTTAAGAGTGATTGGTTATCTAAATGAGTGCTTTTCGCACTGTGACCAGCATCTTTAAAAAATGAACTAGCAAAGAAAGAAAATATCAGAACATATTACATGTAGTAAAGATAAGTATCCTATTGTGAAACACTTGTTATTTGTATATAAATATGTAAGTATTGTATACAGTCATAATGTCATATGTATTTCTTAGGTCACAGTCAAAAAAGTTTGAAAATCATAGATCTAAATTTTTCTTGAGTTAGCCTCTGCCACTCTTTGCAGAACAAGTTCCAAAATTTAATACCTAGTGTATTATGGCACTTTTTATGTATTTGCTGTATTTACTTTGAACCTTTAGGTTGCTGTTCTCTTACCTGTAGCTATTTGGCCACTTTCGTTATCTTGTCTAACCCAATTTATAATTAATAGGGCCCAAGTGTGGATTAACTAATTATAGGCCAAGCCTCAAGAAAAGTAACATAGTCTTGACATGAGATTGAAAAAAACCAAAAACACCAAAACAGAGATTTGCTCAAATCACCAAATCCAACCAAAGCCCTGGGGAGAGGAAGGGACGTCGAAGTGCCTGGGCAGCCCTCAGCCCTCAGCTGCCTGGAGAGAAAGAGCATAAAACAAGAGAATTAATTTGCTTGTTTTTCAGGAAGATTGGCCCTGAGCTAACATCTGTTGCCAATCTTCCTCTTTTTCTCTTTTCTCCCCAAAGCCCCAGTACATAGTTGTATATCCTAGTTGTAGGTCCTTCTAGTTCTTCTATGTGGGACGCCACCTCAGCATGGCTTGATGAGCGGTGAGTAGGTGTGTGCCCAGGATCTGAACTGGGGAACCCCAGGCCGCTGAAGCGGAGCACAGGAACTTAATCGCTACGCCACTGTGCCGGCCCCCAAGAGAATTAATTTTTTAATGGAAGTTTAGGGCTCAGAATATCTGGAAAAGTGAGCAGGAAGATCTAGAAATGGGAAAGCACTCGAGTCTCACAGAGTCCTCTTGTTCAGAAGCAGCCCAATGGGAAGGGCTTCCAAGGCATCAGACACCATCTGCATTCTCCTCCTCTCAAGGCCCTGGTTATCTTGTGGGTGGGGAGATCCAGGTTTGCTTACAGGGGTCTCCATGGAGCGCCTTGCTGAAGTGTTTGTGTCTGCCCAGAACTTATCTCAGAGCTGCATAGCTGTCCCTTTGGTTGGACGAGAGGAGGGGAAGGTACAAACCGGAATTCCAGATTCCCTTATCTTATTCTGAGTGGCGACACTAACACCAATAGTGCCAAAGTACACCAAGTCTATGAAAATATTCAGTGTAGAAAATTTGATGTAAACAGTAAGGAAGCATTTTATAATGGGGTTTTAATTGGCCCTATGAACAAGTTTACCGATTATGTAAGTAGCAATATTTGTGGTCATTTTAGGATTTAGCGGTTACCACTTAAGAAGTCTGCCTCAGCCACAGACCTAGGAAGTGGCAGAGCCGGTCTTCTGACTGGCAGGCCACTGCATTTTCCTGAAGTCTTTCACAAGTCCAATATAAACAGGTAAAAGCGTGGTGGCAGGTCGGCGCAGAAACCTTAGTGGCCATGTATCTTCCTGCTTGGGTTGGATATACTTATGGTGTTCACAGAATTCAGAGCGCCCTTGGATTAGGAAGCAGAAGCAAACTAAGGTTGTAGTTTTGCATTTTTTTACAAGTGCTTATCTGCATTATCCATGGACTCACTTGGGATTCTAATACTCCTTGGGGTTCTCCAAGTCTCCTACTTTTCACTGTTACTGGAGAGAGCATAGGGGTGGGGGATTGTCTTTTCAAAGAAATATGTCCAGGCTGCTTTGAAGCCAGCACAGTTAGTTTTCACTAAAGTTTACAGCGTCAAATTCAACTGTGCTACTTTCCCAAAAGATTTCCTGACTCCTTTTTTATCTGTCACCACTGAAGTAATTAACTTTTCTAATGAGCAGATAAGGAAGTAACCTATTAATACTTTGTTTATTCTGAGAAATGGGGATTTGATTTTTGGATGTGGACTTACATATAAACACTAGGGATTAGTTGAAATAAGAGCTCAATTCAATCTAGGATTTTTTTTTTGAGATTATTTTCCTTTTTTATTAAGAGACTAAAAATACTTATTTAAAAATATTTGTTAAGAACAGAAGAGAATAAAGAACTGCTCCCATAAAAAAAGCCTTTTAACACCAAATCATTCCTATGTCATGTTGGAATTAGAGATAACCCCAGATGAGTTTAACTCGAAAATTAAACTTTATTCAATAGAATTACATTTCCAAATAACTGCTGTAATTTTAATTTTTCTGTTACAGATGAAGAACTAGCACTGGATGGCAGTTTTGACCAAGACCTAAAAAACTATCACAAACTCCATTGGGAAACAGAATTCAAACCTGTGGCACAGCAGCTTCTAAACCGAATTCAGAGTCATCACACCTTCTTGGAACCCCTGCCTATGCCTTCTTTCTAACGTGGTGCCAATTAACAACAGGAACAGGAAGTCAGGTCTCTTTCATTCTTAAGAAGTGGTAACAAACATGAACATTTTTTTCAGTATTAACCAATATCGCAAGTTTTCAGGTACTGATTTTAGTGAGGAGTCTTAAGTATTTTAAAAGAAATAAGCATTTCTTCTTGTTAGGTATTATGGAAAAATGAATATACATGTTGTACTTTCTGCTCTGAGAAATGTAAGATGAAAATATAAGCATGGTTTTTCTAAGTAAATGACTTTTTCTTCTATTCTTTATTAAATAAGTTAGTTCTAGTCTTAAAATCCTGGTTTAACAATCCTGGAATTTAAGTGCTTGCACTGAAGACTATTAGATTTTGTGTATAGAAAGTATGGTGGGCAACACTATTAGGAATACATTTCCACATACTTATCTGTATTAATTCTTATATCATCTAATAATAATTTTCTGGTTAGGTACTAGTATTTTTCTGGTTCTCATATTAAGAGAAGGAGTAAGCAGAAAAACTTAAAGAAGACTGCTTTGGGCCATCTATTCTATTAAATAAGTAAAATAGATGAAAAAGGGAGCATTTTACCTCTTTCTTGTCATTTGAAATAAAATGACTAGCCCATCCTAATTGTAACTCTCTGTGACGAGGGAGGTGATATAATGTACTAGAAGGAGTGTAGGCTTAGGTGTATGGCAGATCTCAGTTGGAATCCTAGCTCTCCCTTGCTTGGGCCTTGGGCAAGTAACTTAATTTCTTTAACTTCAGCTCTAAAATGTGGATAATTCCTATTTTATTATTATATTATAGTTATAAATATATTATATATTTTATATTTATATTATATTATAATTATAAACTATTATAGTTTAGAAAAAAACCATTAAATGGGCAATTGCCCAGTACAGTGTCTGATGTGTAGAAGGTGTTCAATAAATTATAACATTATGATGGTAATTAGTTTATTAGTTTAACATTCTTTGTAGGATAAGTTTGGCCTTGGAATAAATGATAAAAACCAAAGAAACTGAGATTACTGTTGTTATCCTATACTAGCCAAACGAAGATTTGGAAATAAAAGTAGGTTTACTACTTTGCTTGGAGAAAAGCTGTGATTAATGGCTCATCTCCCAACCCTGCAAAATACCAAGATTAATGGGATGAGGGCAGGCATCCCAGACTGGAGGGGTTCTAAAGCCTATTAGAAAAAACCTAAATTTCCAGGAACAAATACTTTCCAAGGGCTCTTCTAGTCTGGGCCTCATCCTTGGTTAGGGCTCAGCAAAATCCTGTAGGGACACTCATCTTATTAGAGTCTGTCATCCATAAGTATGTGCTAGTAGATTCACTCCAATAGATGAAATCATTTTAAGTCTGAGGGGCTAATCTCTCAAACACATTTAAGGATTTTAGTCTTTATTTTATCCATAGCAGGCTATATATTCTACTTTCCGTGAAAAAGATCAAACTTTTTTTCCCTCTAAAACAGCTCCTTCAGTATTTATAACTAATATAATAACTCATGGTGGAGTACCATTATACCTGTTCTCCTCCATACTAAATTCCTCCCCATCATACTCATGTGCAAGCTGGACCGTTTGGAACCATCTACCTGCCTTTAAAAAAAAATTGTGGCAAAAAACACAAAACATAAAATTTACCATCTTAACTATCTTTAAATGTACATTTCAGTAGTGTTAGTATATTCACATTGTTCTGCAACAGATCTCTAGAACTTTTTCATCCTGCAAAACTTAAACTCTATATCCATTAAACAACTTCCCATTTCCTCCTCCCCTAGACTCTAGTAACCACCATTCTATTTTCTGTTTCTATGAATTTGACTAGTTTAGATACCTTGTATAAGTGGAATCATACAGTATTTGTCTTTTTGTGACTGGCTAATTTCACTTAGCATAATGTCCTCAAAGTTTATCCACATTGTAGCATATGACAGGATTTCCTTCCTTTTTTAAGGCTGAATAATATTTCCTTGTATGTATATACCACATTTTGTTTATCCATTCATCCATCAATGGAAATTTGGGTTGCTTCTACCTCATGGCTGTTGTGAATAATGCTGCTATGAACAGCATTATTCATAAATAATGTGTGTGTGTAATAACTGTGTAAATAACTCTTTGAGATCCTGCTTTCAATTCTTATAATTTTTTCCCCCCCAAAGCCCCAGTAGATAGTTGTTTGTCATAGCTGCACATCCTTCTAGTTGCTGGATGTGGGACGTGGCCTCAGCATGGCTGGAGAAGCAGCGCGTCGGTGCGTGCCCAGGATCCCAACCCGGGCCGCCAGTAGCAGAGCACGCGCACCCAACCGCTAAGCCATGGGGCCGGCCCTGCTTTCAATTCTTTTGTATACACACCCAGAAGTGGAATTACTAGATCCTACAGTAGTTCTATTTTTAATTTTTTGAGGAACCTCTATACTGTTTCCCATAGAGGCTGCACCATTTCCCATTACCACCAACAGTGCACAAAAGTTCCAATTTTTTCACGTCTTCGCCAACGCTTGTTATTTTCTGTTTTTTGTTTTGTTTGATAGTAGCCATCCTAATGGGTGTGAAGTGATATTTCATTGTGGTTTTGATTTAAATTTCTATAATAATTAGTGATGTTAAGTATCTTTTTATATGTGTGTTGGCTATTTGTATATCATCTTTGGAGAAATGTCTGTTCAAGTCCTTTGCCCATTTTTTAATTGGGCTATTTGGTTTTTTTTTTTATTGTCATTGAGTTGCAGGATTTTTTATATATTCTGGATTAACCCCTTATCAGATATTATTTGCAGATATTTCCTCCCATTCTGTAGGTTGCCTTTTCACTCTGTTGATTGTGCCCTTTGTACAGAAATTTTTAAGTTTGATGTAGTTCCATTTGTCTATTTTTTCCTTTGCCTTTGCTTTTGATGTTACATCCAAGAAATCATTGCCAAATGAATGTCCTAAAGGTTTTCCCCTGTTTTCTTCTAGGAGTTTTATAGTTTTAGTTCTTACATTTAGGTCTTTAATCCATTTTAGTTAATTTTTATATATGGTGTAAGGTAAGGGTCTAACTTCATTCTTTTGCATGTGGATATCCAGTTTTCCCTGCACCGTTTGTCAAAGAGACTATCCTTTTCTCATTGAATGGTCCTGGCACCCTTCTCAAAGATCATTTAACCATATACATGAGGGTTTATTTCTAGGCTCTTTCTTCTATTCCCTTGGTATATATGTCTGTCTTTATGCCAGTACCATACTATTTCTATTACTGTAGCTTTGGAATATATTTTGAAATCAGGATATGTGAGACCTCCAACTTTGTTCTTTTTCAAGATTGTTTTGGCTATTTAGGGTCTTTTGAGACTCCATATGAATTTTAGGAAGGGTCCTTTGAGACTCCATATGAATTTCAGGATGGATTTTTCTATTTCTGCAAAAAATGACATTTCTTTTTAGAGAGTGCATTGAATCTGTAGATTGCTCTAGATAGTATTGACATCTTAACAATATGCACACGGATGTCTTTCCATTTATTTGTCTTTAATTTCTTACAGTAATGTTTTGTAGTTTTCAGGATACAAGTCTTTCATCTTCTTGGTTAAATTTATTCTTAGGTATTTACTCTTTTTGATGCTATTGTAAATGGAATTGTTTATTTCTTTCTTTTTCAGATTGTTCATTTTTAGTGTATAGAAATGCCACTGATTTTTGTGTGTTGATTTTATATCTTGCAACTTTGCTGAATTTATTAGTTCTAACAGGAATCTTCAGGATTTTCTACATATAAGATCATGCCATCTGCGAAAAGAGATAATTTTACTTTTCCTTTCCAATTTGGATGCCTTTTCTTTTTCTTGCCTAATTGCTCTGGTTAAGACTTCCAGTAGTATGTTGAATAGGAGTGGTGGGAGTAGACACCCTTGTCTTGATCTTAGAGGAAAAGCTTCCAGTCTTTCATTGAGTTTAATATTAGCTCTGGGCTTTTCATATATGGCCTTTATTACATTGAGGCAGTGTCCTTCTACTCCTAGTCTGAGTGTTTTTTATCATGAAAGGGTATTGAACACTCTTTCTGCATCAATTGAAATGATCATGTTTTCTTCCTTCTATTAATGCAGTGTATTACAATGACTGATTTTTGTTATGTTGAACCATCCTTGCATTCTAGGAATAAATCCCACTTAATCTTTTTTTTTTTTTTTTTGGTGAGGAAGACTGGCCCTGAGCTAACCTCTGTCAATTTTCCTCTTTTTGCTGAGGAAGATTAGCTGTGAGCTAACATCTGTGCTCATATTCCTCTATTTTATACATGGGATGCCACCACAGCAGGGCTTGATGAGTGGTGCATTGATCTGTGCCCGGGATCCGAAACTGTGAACCCTGGGCTGCCAAAGTGGAGCTTGCAGACTTAACCACTATGCCACTGGGCCAGCCCCCCACTTAATCCTTTTAATGTGCTGTTGAATTCTCTTTGCTAGTATTTTGTTAAGGATTTTTGCATCAATATTCAACAGGGATATTGGTCTGTAGTTATCTTTTCTTTGGTATCAGGGTAATGCTGGCCTCATAGAATGAGGCCCTCCTCTTCAATTGTTTGGAAGAGTTTGAGGAGGACTGGTGTTAATTCTTTAAATGTTTGGTAGAATTCTCCAGTGAAACCATCCAGTCCTGGGCTTTGTTGAGAGGTTTTTGATTACCTGTTTAATCTCCTTACTAGTTATAGGTCTGTTCAGATTTTCTATTTCTTCATGATTCAGTCTTGGTAGGTTGTGTGTTTCTGAGTTATCCAATTTGTTTGTAGAACTGTTTATGGTATTTTCTTATAATCCTTTTTTATTTGTTACATTGGTTGTAATGTCCCGTTTTTCATTTCTGATTTTACTTAGTCTTTTTGCTTTCTTTTTTTTTTTCTTAATCTAGGTAAGGATTTGTCAGTTTTGATCTTTTCAAACAACTCTTAGTTTTGTTGATTTTTTTTTTCTATTGTTTTTCTATTGTCTGTTTTTTTATCTCTGCTCTAATCTTTATTATTTCCTTCCTCTGCTAGCTTTGGGTTTAGATTGTTCTTCTTTCTCTAGTTTCTTGAGATATGATGATAGCTTGTTGATTTGAGATCTCTTTTTTCTTTTTTTGGCACGGGAGATTGGCCCTGAGCTAACATCTGTGCCAATCTTCCTCTGTTTTATATATGCGACAGTGCCACAGCATGGCTTGATGAGTGGTGTGTAGGTCCGCACCCTGGATCTGAACCCATGAGCCCCAGGCCACCAAAGCAGAGCACGCAAACTTAACCACTATGCCACCAGGATGGCCCCAGATCTTTTTCTTTTTTAATGTAAGGGT